TAAATAATCAGAATTTATGACATCTATGCCAAGGAGAACTGTTTTAATCTAGCGAAGAAAGTCTTCTCATATACGTTCCCTCCCTCTTCCCAAAACTTTCCTGATACGCAAGCTATTATCTTTTTCCCTGTAGCACTAAAAAATCTTCAAATAGTCATCTGTATGTGTCTTTTACTTCCTTGTAGCTCATTCACTTATTTCTTTACAAATTTTTAAAAAGAATAAATTATGTTGATTATTCTAATGTACCTTCTGAATTTCCTGTCTGAAAGTTTGTTATCTTAATATCATCTGATATCAGTATTTGTTTATGGCATGCTGCAAAATATACTGATATTGTTGAACTTAATTTTAATTAAGAATATTATAAACTTGATTATATGTGTCTCTGGTAAGCTAATGAACCCACAAATTTATGTGTGGTAAACAGCTACTAAGATAACTTCCAGTGATCCCCACTCCCTGGTATTCATGCCTTTGTGTAATCTCCCCTTGAACATGGGCTGGGACTTACTAATTTTTTTCTAATAAACAATACAAAAGAAGAGATAAGATGTCACTCCCAAAATTACATTTTTAAAAGAGCATGGCTTGGCCAGGCGCGGTGGCTCATGCCTGTAATCCCAACACTTTGGGAGGTCGAGGCGGGTGGATCACGAGGTCAGAAGATCGAGACGATCCTGGCTAACACAGTGAAACCCCGTCTCTACTAAAAATACAAAAAAATTAGCCAGGCGTGGCGGCATGTGCCTGTAGTCCCAGCTGCTGGGGACGCTGAGTCAGGAGAATGGCATGAATCTGGGAGGCAGAGCTTGCAGTGAGCTGAGATTGCGCCACTGCACTCCGGCCTGGGTGACAGAGCAAGACTCTGTCTCTAAATAAATAAATAAATAAAGCGCATGACTTCTGTCTTTAGGTGTTCTCTCACACATGGTGGCTTATGCTGGAGAAAGCAGTTACCATAATGTAAAGCAGCACTGTGGAGAGGTCCACCTGAATGAGCTTAGAAGCACATTTTTGAGACTAGCCAACAGCCATGTGAAGGAACTTGGAAGTAGATTCTCCACCAGTCAAGACTTGAGATGACTAAAGCCTCAACTGATAACTTCATTGCAGCCTACAGAGAGGCCCTGAGTCAGAAGTACCCACTTAAACTGCTCCTGATTCCTAATCAATAGAAATTGTGACATAACAAATGTTATTTTAAGCTAAGTTACAACAGCAATAGATAACTAATACGAGGATAACACATTTAAAACTGCCCTCATTCTAAGTCATCAGTTTTGATGGTTTCATCTAAAGGCAGGAAAATGAACTACAAATCTACAAAAAGTTTATACATCTGTTTCTGCATCATGAGAAACAGATATTTATAGATATTTGCAAAATGTTGAGACCACATTCAGGATGGCCTCAATTAAGACATAAGCTTCTATGGCATAAACCTCATTTGAGGGTGTAGTTTCTCAGACATACAGGTGGTCTTACTCTGCAGCAGCTGAAACTGAAGCACAAGAAGCCCTTGGAACTATTGTCAGGACATGTAAGTCCCATGTACTAAAATACTTGGGCCAGAGAAAACCAAGTATAGTTTAAATAGGAGTTCCCCCTCCCCTGAAATCAAAAGCCACTAAGGAAGAACTTCAAGACTGCAGGTATTGGTTGCAGTGGAGATTTTTCTCCGTAGAAAGCACCACGGTGAGCCTTTAATTAAGAATAGTTAGTAATTTTGCCAAGAAATGGTAGGGGGGACTATCTGATATATAGGATGGTTCAAATTCCATAAACATTATTTATTTATTTTTAATGTTTTTTATTTTTTGAGATGGAGTCTCACCCTATTGCCCAGGCTGGAGTGCAGTGGTGCGATCTTGGCTCATCACAACCTCTGCCTCCTGGGTTCAAGTGATTTTCCTGCCTCAGCCTCCCAAGTAGCTAGGATTACAGGCACCTGCCACCACACCTAGCTAATTTTTGTACTTTTAGTAGAGACGGGGTTTCACCATGTTGGCCAGGCTGGTCTCAAACTCTTGACCTCGTGATCTGTCCATCTCGGCCTCCCAAAGTGCTGGGATTATAGGCATGAGTCACCGCACCCAGCCCTCCATAAACATTTATAATGTATACTGTGCGTCAAGCACAGAGGTTGGTAATATGAATGAAGATACAGTTCCTAGTCTAGAAGAACTTATACTCTAAAAGAGGAGTGAGACTTTCGTATATTTTAAAATAAAATTTAAGAACTTGCATTAGTTTCCTATTGCTGCTATAACAAATTACCACATCTTTAGAGACTTAAAACAACAAATTGTCTTATGGTGAAGATCAGAAGTCCAAAATGGGTTTCCCTGGGCTAAAATCAAGGTGTTGGCAGGGCTACATTCCTTCTGGAGTTTCTAGGGGTGAGTCTGTTTCTTTGTCTTTTCTAGCGTCTAGAGACTGCTGTGTTCCTTGGCTTTTGGCCTCTTCCTCCATTTTTAAAGCCAGCAGTGTAACATCTTCTGATTATGACACTACTATCTCCTTCTCATAAGGATCCTTGTGATTACCTTGGGTCCATTGGGATAATCCAGGATAATCTTCCCGTCTCAAAATCCTTAATCACATTAGCAAAATGTGGTAAAAACTGAAGACCTAACAAAGATTCATGGTTGTTTGGCTGAATACATTCATGTTAAGAGAATGAAAAAGGCAAGTCCAAGACTGGGAAAAAATTTAAAACCTGTATCTGATAAAAGTCTGTGTCCAGAATATATAAAGAAGTCTTATAACCTGATTTTTAAAAATAGGGAAAGTATTTGAAAAGACAGTTCTATCAAAGAACATATATGAATGACAAATAACATAAAATAAAACCACAATGAGATGTTATGACACTACAACTCAAATGGCTACAGTTAAACATCTGACTATCCCACATTTCAGCAAGAATGCAGTGCAACTGTAACTCTCAGTTCACAGTTTTTATAAAATTTACATACTCTTCTAATACAAGCCAGCAGTCCTTGCTCTTAGGTGTTTACTTAAGACAAATTAAATATACACAAAGACTAGTACATAAATATTCATAGTAGCTTTATTCATAGTAGCCAAAAACTAAAGACAGTTTTGTGATTATGATATTGATATATGTATGAACTCAGCAATAAAACTGAATGAACTGAAATAGGGAACAACATGGATGAATTACAGAAGCATTATGCTAAGGGAAAGAAGCTAGACACAAAAGATGACATACTATGTGATTCCATTTTATGAATTCTGGAAAAGACCAAACTATAATGACAGAAAGCCTATTCGTGGTAACTGGGGCTCGGAGCAGGTAATCATCTGCAAAGAGACAAGGGAACTTTTTGGAATGATGGAAATGTTCTACATCTTAATTATGGTGGAGGTTATGACTGCACTTTTTAAAATTCATCAAACTGTACAACTAAAATTGGTAAATTTCATTGAATGTAATGAAACAAGGCTGAATGAAAACATCTGTCTATACACACAAGCACAAATCCAGTTAAGCATTTTGCTAATCTTAAACTCACACTTGGAACAATTTTACTTTTTTTAACCTCCAAGGTAATGTATGAGTAAATCCGAGGTCTTTTGGAATAGGTTTATGTATATAAATACTATGAAATTCAGAGGAAAAGCTCTTTCTACTTGGACTTACGAGCAGAAGACAGAATTTTTAAGCTTCGTCTGAGCTGGAGCTACAAGGAAAATTCCTTTTTTTTTTTTTTTTTGGAGATGGAGTCCGGCTCTGTCACCCAGGCTGGAGTGCAGTGGTGTGATCTTGGCTCACTGCAACTTTTGGCTCCCAGGTTCGAGCGATTCTCCTGCCTCAGCCTCCCGAGTAGCTGGGATTATGGGCGTATGCTACCACGCCCAGCTAATTTTTGTGTTTTTCATAGAGACGGGGTTTTACCATGTTGGCCAGGCTGGTCTTGAACTCCTGACCTCAAGCAGTCCACTTGCCTCAGCCTCCCAAAGTGCTGAGATTACAAGCATGAGGCACCATGCCTGGCCAAGAAAACTTTAAAAAAAAACTTTCTAGCTGCTTTATGATGACATCAGAGGATTGAAATTAGAAGGGGGAAGGGTGACCGAAGAAGAATGTAACTGAAGTGGAGAATCTAAAAGGAGGCCAGACTATTGGAGAGGGGATTCCATTGGACTGCAGGAAAGCATAAGATTGCCTTGGTAAAGTGAGCTTCAATCATGGTGTACCTTAAGTTCTAGAATAAGGAATAAGGAATTGATGAGTGGGTCCGTAACTGTCCAACTGGAACAAAGTTGGAAAACCATTGTGATAAGGTAAAAAAAAAAAAAAAAAAAAATAGGTTCTTGAATGAGACTTGTGACGAAAGGGTCAACATCAGATTATAGAGTGTTGATATTTATTTTTATGCAGTATGGGATAAAGGTGTAGTTTTTATTATGCTTTAAATGAATTATATTGGATAAAAACAGGTTTTCATTAATTTTATAACTACAGATGTTTCTCAATTTATGAGAAGATTACATTCCAATGAACCCATCACAAATTGAAAATATTATACATCAAAATGCATTTAATACACTTAACCTACTGAGTATCATGAGAACATATACATTAGTTTACAGTTGGGCAACATCATCTAACATAAAGCCTACTTTATTATAAAGTGTTGAATATCTCATGTAATTTATTGAATACTATACTGAAAGTGAAAACCAGCATGGCTGTATGGATCCTTGAAGTACTGTTTCTACTGAATGTGTAGTGCTTTCATACCACAGTAAAGTCAAAAAACCTTAACTTGAACCATTGTAAGTAGGGAACCATCTAATAGTGGATCTTTATGAGATAATTCTATTTTTGTATAAAATAGAATTCTCTTCTACTCTTCTTGTATCTAACAAACATGTTAGCCCAAAATAATTCTTTGTAGTATTTAACTGCCTACTTACTATTTAAATTCCAACACTGAATCTTTCATGATTATGTATATTTTCAACAGTGAGTCCATTCTTGCACACCGAGAAAATATGCCACAGATGATGAGAAGTTTATCTGAACCCTTTGGAAGAGACTTGCTCAGTATCTCTGATGGTAGAGGGAGAGCTCGTAATCATAGAGGACATAATGATGGTGAAGATTCTTTGACTGTAAGTTCTTTTTTTTAAGACAGTTAGTGAGAAGGCCCTGTAGGAATTTGAAGAAAATTATTACAGAAGTATATATGTATAATGATAGGATATGACTAATATTCTTGTTATAGAAATCACTATTAAAGGGGGGAACTTTGGAAAGGTGAATTCTTGAACAGTGACTTGTCAGCTATATAGAATTCCACTGTGCTAACCAAAACTTTTAGGTCCATAGGGTTATATATTAGAAGCAAAACGTAAACCTTTTTTTTTATATTTATGTATATGTTTCTCACCTTATAATTTCCTCCAATATCTGAAATGAGAACAGGCAAGGAAATATCCTTTCTCTCCCATACTCATTGTTTTAATACTTGAAAATCGTATCAAAAGCTACAAAGGATTGTCTTTATTGGACCAGGAAACACTAATCTTCTATAATCTTACCTATGGACCTTCAAAGCTTAGATTAACCTTTAATTGTTTCTCGAAAGCCTTACAACTGAAATATATTTTCATATGTCTTGCCTTAGAGCAAAGCTAGACTAGGTTACAAACATACTCAACTAAAATTTTTTAAAAAACAGGATATTTATATATCATAACCATTTTCTTTTTTCCCTTTTTTTTTTCTGTTGCTTTTTCAGCCTCAGGAATAATAGTTCTAAGATAACAAGCCTTCAGGGGTTTCTATAAAGACGAATCTCAGCAATTGAAATGTAGATATTTGAAACTCAGTAAACATTTAATTGGTAAATTGAGAAACTTCTGTATAGTAAATGTCATAATCAAAATGAATTGGATATTATTTTTCCAGGCAATGAGTTGTTCTCTTGTACCTTTTGGCAGTTTTGGTGCTATGGTTCGTATCCTAAGACACAAATCATTTTAGCAATATTTTCTGACAAATATTTATTTTTCATTAACTCAAGCGGACTAAATTGGCCTGCAGCCTCACTTTCATAATGGCTTTTTAATATTTGTACTGAAAACCTCTGTTTCAAGTATCAAACTTACCTTAAAAAGTTTAAGCACATGTTTCCTGAAGTAAGTCATTTCAACATATATAAAATTCATCTTCAAAAATAAGAAGTAGATTTTATTGGATGAATATTTGCTTGATTTACAAAAGGGATCCTCATAGTTGTGTTTGAAAGTTGGGGACTTCCACATGCTTATGATTACTTTCCAAAAGGTTTTTTAAAAAGTACTAAACTGTAGATAGATAAGCACAACATTTGGAAAAACACAGATTGACTGCTTTCTCTAGGATTTTGTTGCCACCTTGCCCGTGCAACTTTTTCTTGTCTGTACTTAAGAATGGCTGCTGTGCAACCAGCATTTCTATCATCTGTTTCTTAGGGTTTTTGTGCTGTGTCTGTGATGCTAGCTTCCAACACACTAAAAGCATTCTGGGGAGTAGCAGAAAATAACATGAATTTGGAACATTTGTATCTACAGTCTCATGAAACGAGTTTTTTTTTTTTTTTTTTTTTTTTTTTTTTTTATTATTTTGTGCTACAATTGAATCATTTGTTTCCTTGAAGTTTGACATAAAGGTATAACATTCGTCCCTCCTGACCAGTGTACTTAGTAAGACAAATGACAAAAAAAGCAGTTATAACACAGAGTTATGAATAAAATGATCAGGAAGTTCAGCATGCTATGGGAGCACAGATGGAAAAAAGCACCTTTTGAGGTAGAGTGGGTCTGTCCAAGCAGACTTCCTGAACTTTAAGGATTAGTAAAAGTTAGCCTATAAAGGAGGGAGGGGAAAGGAATACTGTTCAACAGAGAGGAAACAGCATTTGCGAAGACCTGGAGGCTAGGGAGCTAAAACATGTTTAGTGTCACTTAACCCTAGGGTATGAGTTGAACAGTAGATATTGATGAGGAAGAAGAGGTATCCAGAGACTTCTTTGGGCCATAGTAAGTAGAGTAAACATTATCTTAAGAGCAGAGGAAGCAGTGATGACTTATGTCAAAGTGGTAATAGAGTTCAGATTCTTGAAAGATTAGAAGAGACCGTAGTGGAGGCAGGGAAGCCAGAAGGCTGTTGAAGCATTCTTGGTAAAGTATTAGTGATGGCTTACTTCTACTAGGTGATGTCTGTGGTGATAAAAATGAATTACTTCATTTGAGACAGTTAAAAGGGTAAATTGATAGAATTTGGTGATTGATAGGGTTGAAGGAGCAGTAGAGAGGGAGAAGGGGAGTATCACACCCATTTTTCTGGCATGAAGAATAAGGTAGATGGGAATGCCACTGAGATAAGGCATTGATTCAGTACAGATATAGGAGTGGGATGGTCAAAACGATCATTTTAGTTTTAGGTGTTTGGCATTTGAGCCATCTGTGGGTTTTCCAGGTAGATTTATCTGGTAAACTGTTGGATATATGGATTTGAGCTGAGCTAGAGATAATTTGTTCATTCATTTATTCCACAAATATTTATTAAACCCTCTTAAGTGCCAGGAATAATTATATATGTATTGGGGATATTGTAGTGAATAAAATAGACAAAATTGCCCTGCCCTCAGAGAGATTACTTATATAAGGTGGGAAGACAGACAGTAGTAAACAACAAAATAATTTCAGATAGTCACAGTACCCTGAAGGAGATGAAACAGGGTAATGATATAGAGGTGGGGGAAAGTGAAGGAGGGATTAGACAGGTGACCAGCAGTGGCCTTTCTTAGGTGGTGATACTTGAATCATGAGAAGGAACTAACTAGGCTAAAAGTCAGGAAGAAACATTTAAGGCAGGAAGAGGAGAATGTGTACAAAATTTTTGAAGGCCTTACGGGCCCACTGAAGTCTCGACTCCATTTTGTACCCCAACTTTTTGTCACTCCAGTGTGTTGGGTCACCCCAGAGCAAGTGCAGATGCATCTTTTGATGGTTGATTTGAACGTGAATTGAGAAGAGGACAGAAATACCCAAATGCCTAATCTTTTCCTCTCTCTTTTTTTCCTTCTTTGGGTTAACCCTTCCATATCTCATGATAATAAGAACGGATTCTCAATCTAGTGTTAAAGCAAATATTCAAAATATTTCCTGGATTGCGTTTGCCTCTCTGAAATGCAGAATTAATTCTACTTCGGTCCTTTTTGTACCCAAATATATATTAGTGTTTCCTAAATGTGCCTTTGTTGTTCCCTACTATATTAAGTGCAGGTTCTAAGAAGGAATTTGGTTTTCCCACCTATTTTATATTATTAATATCTGTAAAAATCCAATAGCAATAAAAGGCAGAGACACAAACAGAACTTAGAGGATTCAGAGCTCCGCCTGCTTGAACAGAGAAGTTCATTAAACCAAGCAACTCATTCTGTTTTATAACAGGTGATTTACTGGGTAATACATTGGAATGTGTGCTTGACTTTTATTTTCTGGTGAGTCTTCCAGTGATAAAACCTAAAATAAATGGTAGATTGTAAGACCTAAAATCAGTGGTAGATTTTCCTAGAGCAAAGTTTCTCAACCTCAGCACTATTGTCATTTTGGGCTGGGTAATTCTTTGTTCTGGGAGACTGTCCTATCCGTTGTAGGTTGTTAAGCAGCATCCCTGACCTCCACCCACTAGATGCTAGTTATAGGCTCTCCTCATCTGTGACAGCCAAAAATGAGTATAGTTATTGCCAAATGTCCCCTGAGAATCAAAATCAATATTGGTTGAGAAATTACTGTTTACAGGAATTCTTAACTGTTTTTCTGAAGACACATACCTCGTGCTTCAAGGGTATAGCCTACTGACCCTTCAGTAGGCAGCAAATTGAAGGCCTATTAGTAAAGTGAATTGACTTCTGTCACCTGGATCCTACTATGATGAGAGGAAGGCTGGCTACTTACTTGAGGGGCAACTTCTATCAGCCATGTGGTACTGCTGGAGGTGACACTGGCATCTTATACCCAAGTTTTATTTATTTGTATGGTGGAGTATTGAGAGATAAAAAGGAGAATTATGAAAACTATCATATGCTAAAGAATATATCACTTAGTATTTAACATACACCAAATTGTGTTTTGAAAAAGTGAGTAATGAGTGATTAGATGTGTATGTGTATGTGTATTTATGCATGCACATATATGTGTATATATACATGTGTGTATATGTTTATAATGTTACAATTCCCTAATTATTTGTATGCTGTCTTTTTGGGATTTTGTGTATGCTTCAGTTTTCTCCTTAACTAATCACTGTTATTATATCCTCTTTAAGTTATCTTTGTCTGGTTGATTACTGCATGATATTTCACTAAATGAATTGGAAAAAAATGTTTTAGCTGTTTTGGAAGATGTATTTGCATCTTTTGTGTTGTTACTTATAGTTAATAACATACTTTCTGATATTCTGTAGCATACAGATGTCAGCCCTTTTCAGACAGTGGACCAAATGGTGTCAAATATGAGAAACTATATGCAGAAATTAGAAAAAAACTTTGTAAGTACTGAAAACAAAGCATTGAGAACATTGTGTATACTTTGGTATATTCTATTTCATAGTGGCTTTCAAACACTTTTTTAACCATAGTGGTTAAAAAAGATATCTTACATGATTAACCCAGTAAGCAATATTTGTATACTTTATAAATATATTTGAAGCACAAGTTTCATGAAAAAATCACTATACTATTTACAGTATATACAGTTATTTTCTAGTCTATTTCATGTTTTAAAAATCCTGGTTACAACACACTAAATTGAGTTCATAACCTCCAAGTTTGAAAAATAATAAATTGAGTTCATAACCTCCAAGTTTGAAAAATAATGTTAACTTTCAAAATTTTTTTAAAAATTGGAAAAAAATTGACCTCAAAAACATTGATTCTATTGAAAGTCACTATTGTAAATGAACATTTTATTCGAATTTGCATAATTTTATTAATAACCTGTCTACTTAAAAGGATTTGTAACATCTAAAGAGTTTTTGGGTTTTATAAACAACTCTGAAAACAGAAATTTTAGGAATGATGTTTAGGTATAGATCCCTAATAGTCCAAATACTTATAAACTAGTACTATAATAGTACTCTCTATATTAACATCAAAACCAGTCACTTGATTTGATCTGAAGAAGACCCATATCATTCTAGTCATCCAGTTTGAATTCTATGGATCATTTCAGAATGCCCAAATAATCTAGGGCATTATTGGTTTTAGTAATGTAGCAATCTGGTACCTACAGAAGAAGGTATGAAACTTGATATATAACTAACTGATTGGCTTGACGTTGGCAAGATTACGCGCAAGGGTCAACCACTGACTATAGAAGTATCACAGGTTTGGGGGCATAGCATCTTCATCGAAATCTAAGCCACAAGCACCCAAAGACTTAAGGATCTCTGAATTAGTCACTTACTAGTCTTTGTAATGAGAGTGGAATGATGGTACCTAAAATGGACGACCATCAGGACCCTCTAGGGCTGCCTTTTTTTTGGGTGGAGGTAATTTTTCAAGTCACTTCTCACTTGAGAACCTGGGTGTGCCCTTTGACTATACCATATTGGTAGTTTAGTATCCTTAGTAGAACTTACAGCTAGTGTTACTTATTTGAACCTCTGGCAATAATTATTTATATTTGACTTGACCGAATTTACAATTTGTTTACCTTTAGGGTCAACTTTCACTGGATCCAAATGGACATTCATTTTGTTCTTCCTCAGTTATGACTTATTCCAAAATAGGAGATGAACCACCAAAGGTTTTTCAGGCCTCAACTCAAACCCGTAGAGCTCCAGGAGGAGTAAGTTTTCTATAAGCATTCCTAGAGCTTTATAAAGTTAGGGGATGATAGACTGTCTAGATCAAATTTTAACTATTAAAATTTAATCTGGTACATGATGGCGGGGGGACAGGAGGGAGGTGTGGGGGTCGGGTGTAAGGTAGTCCTCACTGTGGAAACCATTAAAACTCAACTGTATTTACTCAGTTTGTGGCGATTTTTCGTGCCCCCACCCCCGTGAGGGTGCGTTTTTTCATGTAAATATCTATGGATGTTTATTACCTTTACATGTTGACAAGGTAAACAAAAACACGAAAAGCCTTTGTTTCGTGAAATAATGTCTATTTTTAAGTTTACATTTGAAGTGAATTAATTTTTTAACTCATGAAATATTTGAAATGTACAGAGAGGATATAGAGAATAACATAATAAGTGCCCATATTCGTGCCACCCAGTTTAGTCATATCATAACATTTTCCTCTATTTGCTTCAAATTGTCTCTTGCTTTGTTTTCTTTTTAAGCAAAAATGTACAGAGGCAGTTAAAGCTTCTAATACATTCCTCTGAGGTCTGTTTCCCCTTTCTCCCCTTCTCAGAGATTACCATTTTCCTGTATCTGGAGTTTATCATTTTCATGCATGTTTTTACAATTTTATTACTTATCTTTCTATCTTAAAAAAATGGATTATTTTCCAGATTTCCCAACATTACATAAAGGGTATCATATTGCATGTGTCCCCTGCAACTTGTCTTTGCTGAGTAATATGCTTCTGAGATTTATTCAACTTGATACATGTGGCCCTGGTTTCTTTAACTTGTATATAGTATCCAAAATATGAATATATTATGATTAATACGCTTCTGAGATTTATTCTAGTTTATACATGTGGCCCTGTTTTCTTTAACTTCTACGTAGTATCCAAAATATGAATGTACCATTATTTTTAAATCATTTTCTGTCAATAGATATGTAGGTGAGTCTAATCTTTCACTAATTCATCTTTATACACGGCTCCTTATACAAAGAGTCTAGGAGTGGTATTGCTGAGTTGTAGGGTATGTGTACTTTCCTCTTTACCTAGCATTTCCAAGCTACTATACCAGTGATTGAAATTGTTGGCTTCCACAAACTGTGGCTTGTGAGTTTCCATTTGACTACTTCCTTGTTAGTACTTACAGTAAAAATTTAGGTTTACCCATCTAATGAGTGTGAAGTAGTACGTTTTTTAGTTCTTACATATGAAGATGAACCTTTTAATGATGCTCTTGCCATAGTTCTGCTAATTAATCTCAGACATTTTAATTTTAACTTTCTAAAAGTGACAATCTTAAATGTAAACAGAATATAATTGTAGATGTCCCCCAGTAAATCATGTTAGTAGCTATCATAAATATTCTAGTAACACTTCCATAGAGTTGATGGCGGGAATGATGAGATTCAAGCCAATCAACATGAAAAATAATTAGTTGCCCTTACTTGTAGGAATGCTACGATAAACTTCCTTCTATTACATTGTCTAAAACAGTCTTGAAGGCATTAAACTATAATTGCTACTTTTGTTTTAATATTTGATTATAATTTGGAAACAGGTTAAATTGTATGGATTCTGTTTGTTCTAGACATTTTCATTTTAAGGAGTTCAGGAAATATCAGAGACTTATCACCACAGTTTTACCACAAGTTAATAGTGGAACTGAGTACACATTATTTTTAGAGCGGTAGATCTATAGCCATACCTCAGTAGGTAAGCTGGCCCTGAGAATTTTAGAGTTATATACATTCTATATATATTTAAATAATAATAAAATTTCTTTATTTTTACAGATAAAGGAAACCAGGAAAGCAATGAGAGATTCTGACAGTGGACTAGAAAAAATGGCTATTGGTCATCATATCCATGACCGAGCTCATGTCATTAAAAAGTCAAAGAACAGGAAGACTGGAGATGAAGAGGTCAACCAGGAGTTCATCAATATGAATGAAAGTAAGTTATCACAAAAAAATAGTATTCTTTCTCATAAAGTTAAAATAACAGTTAAAGTTGACTAATACTTTTTGTAGAAACATGTTATAAGAGGTAGTTTTTGAATAATATGTATAGAGAATACCTTGTCAAAGAAATAGGATTGTGGTTTCATCCTTTCATAGGAGAGCTCTTTTTTGTAGTGATTTTTGGCAACATGGGATATTACTTATTTTTATTTTATCCTTGGAAAGTGGAATCTTTTGAATTGTTATTTAGTAATATTATCAGTAGGCAAAATGCTTCTTTAAATATTTTTTCTGATTATCAAGAAAGTACATTTGAAAAATGTAAAGACAAAAATCATCCATAATCCAAAATCGAAATACTAGTAATGTTTTAATGTATTTCTTCCTAATCATTTTATATATATAAACATGCTTTTTCCTCAAATTATTATTTTACTTTTATATAGTTTATATTGTGCTTATTTTAATTTACCATTATAATTGTAAAGTCACTTAAGATGCTATTTTTCAAAAACATTTTAAGTGGTTACCTAAAATTTTTATTGTAAATAAGCCATAATTTTTACTTAAATCATTCTGTACTGTTCAGTACTTAGGCTTTTGTATAGATAAGATTTTAATTTCTGTTGTATGTTGAATTACATGTATGTCTCTCTCAGGTAAATCTTCTTTTTCTAGGTTTTATATTTATTCTTCAGTGCATTTATGTCCTTCTAGTGTCCTTTCTCCCTGTAGTTTTTAATAATATAATTTATTAACAAATTTAATCATTAAATTTATTTTTATTAATTTTTAAATCAGTATTAAGCTTTTGTATTTAATTAATTGTATTAATTCAGTAATGAAATTATATTAAAATTTAGTTGGATTCATCTCCTAGTTTCAGAAACTAGTTTGAATAATGTTTTTCCGTAATAAAGTGTTTAAATTTTAAATTGTTGTATTAAAAAAGAAATTCTGGCCAGGCATGGTGGCTTACGCCTGTAGTCCCGGCACTTTGGGAAGCCAAGGCGGGCAGATCACGAGGTTAGGAGTTCAAGACCAGCCTGACCAGCATGGTGAAACCCTGTCTCTACTAAAAATACAAAAATTAGCCGGGCGTGGTGGCTCACGTGCCTGTAATCCCAGCTACTCATGGAGTTGAGACAGGAGAATCGCTTGAACCAGGAGGCAGAGGTTGCAGTGAGCCGAGATCGAGTCATTATACTCCAGTCTGGGTGACAGAGTGAGACTCTATCTCAAAAAAAAAAAAAAAGTAAAAATAAAAATGCAAAACTCAGCCGGGCATGGTGGCCCACACCTGTAATCCCAGCTACTTGGGAGGCTGAGGCAAGAGAATCTCCTGAACCTGGGAGGCAGAGGTTGCAGTGAGCCAAGATCACACCATTGCACTCCTGCCTGGGCAGCAGAGCAAGACTCCGTTTTGGGCTGGGGGGAAGAAGAAATTCTGTTAACATTGGGATTTGATAAAATTATTCCTTTTTGGTTTTTTTTTTGTTTTGTTTTGTTTTTTGAGATGGAGTCTCGCTCTGTTGTCCAGGCTGGAGTGTAGTGGTGCAGTGGTGCGATCTCAGCCCACTACAAGCTCTGCCTCCCGGTTCATGCCATTCTCCTGCCTCAGCCTCCTGAGTAGCTGGGACTACAGGCAGCCACCACCATGCCCGGCTAATTTTTTGTATTTTTAGTAGAGATGAGGTTTCGCCATGTTAGCCAGGATGGTCTCGATCTCCTCTTGTGATCTGCACGCCTCGGCCTCCCAAAGTGTTGGGATTACAGGCGTGAGCCATCACGCCCAGCCGGGGTTTGATAAAATTATTCTTATGCAATAAGATAGAAGCCATGATATTGTGACCTGTGTTTAATTGTAACCTCTGTAATTTTATCACATTTATATATATACTGAGTATTTCACAATAATCAACATTTTAATGAAAAATTTAGTGAAGGAACATAATATTTTAAAGCAGTCTTGAAGAAGTACTATCATTCTCTATTGTTGCTACTATGGAAGTTAGATTACTTACTTCATAACAACATGAATTGACATTCTAGCTGAGTAACTTGTCTTAGGAAATTGACAACAGAAACTTGTGAGGTCAAGTTACATAGAAAGATAGTTAGGTGAATAGAAGTGCTAGTCACAGAAGTATACAGTATACAGCAAGAGCATATTCATTGTGAGATGACCCAGGAAGAAAAACTGTTAGTTATTATAATTGGGTCAGCTGTTCCATTGGGTAAAATAATATGATATCCAGGCAGGTGAAAAAATAGATCATCAATAACTAGGTCATCAGTAGGAATAGGAGAGCAACAGACAGGAAAAGAAATACTACTATCATCAAAGACCCTTATATTTGAAGCAGCTTCCTGCCTATATATTGAGGTTACACTAATGAAAACACCAGACTAGACTGAAATATGTGGGAGCAAGGCAATTACTGACAGTTGATACCTTAATACTTATTCCCATCATTTTTCTATTTAACATAGATGATGCTCATGCTTTTGATGAGGAGTGGCAAAGTGAGGTTTTGAAGTACAAACCAGGACGACACAATCTAGAAAACACTAGAATGAGAAGTGTTGGCCATGAGAATCCTGGCTCCCAAGAACTTAAAAGAAGGTAAAAGTTGTTTCTAAAATAGTTTGGTTTTTAAAGAAGAATTTGAAGTAAAGTTACATAATTTTATTTCTGTTATCAGAAAGTTTTGATGATCATCCAAGTTGTATCCACAGTATCTTTTGTGAAAGATGTAATAATTTTATACTAAAACTGAGTATTCCGCACAAATTTAAATTTATATCTAAAAATCAATAATAGTTTAGGATTGTATGGTTAGTAATTCACTAGTAAATTATGCCTCAGAAGACAGAGACCAAAATCCTCTTCAGGAAAACTGATTTGCTACAGAGTAGTTATTCTTGTAAAACAGATTCTAATATGGTTATAGAGTCATACATTTCACACTGGTAAAGATACCTAGAGATATGTTAAGGGGAGAGGGGCTGTATTTGGAAGACTTAACAACTTCCTTAACAAATCACAATTTATCATTTAATCGTAAATGAAATTTCAGACACGGGTACAATTTGTAACAGTAACAATACCATATTTGATGTGTTTTAGGTGTTTTGGAAGAATTTTGTAAGAACATTAGCTTATTTTACAATTCCCTTTTAGTATAGCTGAGAAAAATAAATTTGCTGAAACCACATATTAAAGATTATAGAGATTTCTGGCTGGGCATGGTGACTCATGCCTGTAATCCCAGCACTTCGGGAGGCCGAGGCAGGTGGATCACTTGAGGTCAGGAGTTTGACACCAGCCTGGCCAACATGGTAAAACCCCGTCTCTACTAAAAATACAAAAATTAGCTAGGTATGGTAGCATACACCTATAATCCCAGCTACTTGGGAGGCTAAGGCAAGAGAATCGCTTGAACCCAGGAGGCGGAGGTTGTGGTGAGCCAAAATCACACCGGTGCACTACAGCCTGAGTGACAGACTGAGACTCTATCTCAAAAATAAATAAATAAATATTATAGAGATTTTAAAATACATTTTGTACATACCCTGGAGCTACAGTTTAGTGTGGTTCTCTGCGGGCGGCGGGGGGGAATGAATAATAATATCTAATTACTATGAAGTTACACTAAAGAGAAAGGCCTCACCAGACCTGTTTAAGAAATCTGTTCTAAGCTATAAGAGAGTGGAGAATTGCTGCAGAAGGTAGAAGGCTTCACAGAACTAGCGGTGGACAAGTGAGTATCAAGTAAATCAGAAGCCTTATGGAGAATTTCATATGCTAGGATCTTTTCTTCTAAAATACTTGTTTAGGAATTTAGAGCCCTGGTATTTTCTATTGAATTGCTTGAAAACTTGCTCCTATATTAATTACAGATATTTTTCTCATTGGAAAAATGTACTGATTAAAAACCTAGCAGTGCCAAGTTTGAATAGGAAATCCAGGTCCCACTTAGAGAAGGCATACTCTTTATGGATGACCTATAAATTTCTGGCCCTAACAGTGGCATTTTCTCTTAACCAGCACTGTCCAACGGCATTTCCTGAAATGACTTCGGTAATGACAAAAATGCTATATATCTATTCTGTCCTGTGTAGTAATTACTAGCCACATGTGGCTGTTGATTCACATTTGAACCATTGCTGGTAAAACTGAAGTATTGAATTATTTTAGTTTAATTCAAATATAAATGTGGTTAGTGGCTACCATACCGTTAACATTAAACAGTGTTTAAACTATAAACAGTTAAATCTATCTCAGGAAAAAATTCACTGAAATAGTCTGCCTTGTTTTTCCCGTTTGTTTGTTTGTTTGTTTTTGTTTTTTTGGAGGGGGAGACAGTCTGGCTCTGTCACCAGGCTGGAGTGCAGTGGCGCAATCTCGACTCACTGCAACCTCCACCTCCCAGGGTCAGGCAGTCCTCCTGCTTCAGCCTCCTGAGTAGCTGGGACTATAGGTGCACATCACCACGCCCAGCTAATTTTTTGTACAGATGGGGTTTCACCATGTTCGCCAGAATGGTCTCAATCTCTTGACCTGGTGATCTGCCCACCTCGATCTCACAAAGTGCTGGGATTACAGGCGTAAGCCACCACACCTGGCCAGCCTTGTTTTTCAAAGCTATTAAGGAACTTTTAAGATAAAACTTTTCTTATATTACAGTGGTTTTTAACATGTTTATTGATTTATAAACCATTGGCCATTTTATAAATCATATTAATATTCACATGTATATTTCTCAGGGAGAAACCTCAACAAAGTCCAGCCATTGAACGTGGAAGAAGATCAGATGTTTTGGGGGATAAACTCCACATCAAAGGCTCATCTGTGAAAAGCAACAAAAAATAAATAGCCATGCATTTGATTTGCTTAGTTTTGGTTGTTTTAACAGTTAGTAATGGTGCTGGGTAATAAGCATAAGACCAATCTCTTGCTGTTAAATCAGTTCTGTCCTTGGCAACTTTCTTCTGATACCTGAATGTTCATGAAGGTCCTAGCTTTATATTGTCCCTCTTTTAGGAATAAAATTTTGATTTTCAACAATGTGAGTAAATTGTGAAACAGTCTATTTAATATAAAACTCTTTAAAACATACTAATTTTTTAAAGCTTATATGCTGATTTCGCTTCCCCAGTTGTTTTTGTGTTGGCTAGGTATTCTTTTATATTTATCAAGATTGATTGCAGAGCAGTTCTGTCACTTATAATTAGTTATAAGACATTATAATGTTAAAAATTTCTCAGTTTTTACTAACACTGTACTCGGGTGATATTAATAAAGGTTTAAATAATTTATCTCTAATTTTATAATGTGCTGTACAGCCAGCTAGATTAAAACTTTAAAAATAATAAAGCAAAACTACACTGGTACTCTTTTATGAGAAAATAGTTATTATTTTGATAAAGGGCAAGAATGATCAAATAGTTCATTTTTGGAGAAAAATATTTTAAATTGCTAATGTACATGATTGTTTTGGTTATAATTTCTTTATAGAATGTATCTTTTCTATATTACATTCTTAATATTCATCAGATATCATATTGACCATTCTCTTTAACTTCTTAATGTGGCATATTTCTGCCCTCCTTTCCCATAGACAGCTTCATCTATCTCCAAGACTAACATTCTAAAGCTGGAGAGTCCTTGGAGAAAACTCTGCTCAGCTTTTTTGGGACATTTAGAAAAATACATTTAGTATTCTCCAAACCAGAATGATACATTGTCTCAGAATTTGTTAGACCGCTGATGGGTGTTTTTGAGCAACATCTTAATAATTCAGTTGTTTCTGTTTTAATTGTACCATTAAAAATCAGCTTTAGCATTTTTATTCTAGAATTTAAACATTAATCTGTTTTTATAAAAGTTAGGTTTGAAGTTTATAAGAATATAAAATCTTAACTCACATCTGTTGTTTGATATTTCTATCAAGGAAAAAAGCCCCCAAAATTTGCTATCACTCTATAATCCTAAGTATTTTTCTTTTCAGTTTCATAAGTAAAATTATGACTATGCTCATACTTCTCTAATTTCTTATATAATATTTTTGTTAATTTTAGTAGTGTATGTTTTATGCCTTTAGTCATTAAAATGCAAATGTGTTCATTCATTGTTAAAATTGAGCATGTATTAGTTAAAAATTTCCTTTTAGGCATACTTTAGTATACTACTAACATACCATAACACATTGGGAAATTGTCATACAGCACAAATTTTAAATAACATCTTTATATAAATTAACCTAATAGAGCAAAGTCTTAATAAAGTACATACTTTATTTTCATTTTGCCTAAATCATTACACTGATGATAAGTTGAATCATTGTAGTCAAATCTAAAAACACCCTTTAATAAATAATTGTGTTTAACAGTATAATTCCTGTACATCAGATTACAGTTAAGAGATTGTGGTGAGGCAAAATTTGAGACGGTAGTACTGAGAAAAGTTCTGTTTCTTTCTTAAAAGTCAACTCTGTCTTTGTACCATAAAAAAAATAACTATCACTATCTATATCCCAGAATGATATTTGTTTGCAACAACTTCTTATGATGGGTGTTTAATACTGTTAGTCTGTAAACTTAAACTATTTAAAACTATATACATGCCGGGCACAGTGGCTCATGCCTGTAATCCCAGCACTTTGGGAGGCTGAGGCAGGTGGATTGCCTGAGGTCAGTTCAAGACCAGCCTGACCAACATGGCGAAACCCTGTCTGTACTAAATACACAAAAATTAGGCAGGCGTGGTGGTAGGCACCTGTAATCCCAGCTACTCAGGAGGCTGAGGCAGGAGAATTGCTGGAACCTGGGAGGGGGAGGCTGCAGTGAGCCGAGGTCGCACCACTGCACTCCAGCCTGGGCAACAGAGCAGGACTCCATCTCAAAAAAAAAAAAAAAAAAAAATCTATACACATACTAGGTAGGATGGTTTATTTTTATGATTAATATTTTATTTCCACTCCTTTTATGAGCCAATGATATACATGAGTTTACGAGGTTTTTTAATAAAATAAATAGAAATTAGAAGCTTGTTTTTCGTCTGTATATTCATTATTGTTAATTTCATGAGAATGCCATTTGTTTTATTCTTGGAAGTCTTCTACAGGAAGAACTATGTTTTTTTTTTTTCACTGTGCTCTGTTACAGAGTGTTTTAAAGTGATTTACCTTGTGCCTACTTAAAAGAGTCTGAAGGCTGGGTGCAGTGGCTCAGGCCTGTAATCCCAGCACTGTAATCCCAGGAGGCCGAGTCAGGCAGATTGTCTGAGGTCAAGAGTTCAAGACCAGCCTGGCCAACATGGTGAAACCCCATCTCTACTAAAAATACAAAAATTAGTTAGGCGTGTTGGTGTGCACCTGTAATCCCAGCTACTCAGGAGGCTGAGGCATGAGAATCTCTTGAACCCGAGAGGCAGAGATTGCAGTGAGCCGAGATCACACCATTGCACTCCACCCCGGATGAAAAGAGCGAAACTCCCATATCAAAAAAAAAAAAAAAAGTCTGAAAAGTCAATGTATTTAGATCTATGAAATTACTTTCCACATAATTTGCTAATTGTAAAAAAAAAAAATCCAGACTTATAAAACATGAATGGCTAATCTTTTGGGAAATATTAATCCTAGTATTAAGGAACAATAGATATAAATTGGAAGAAGATCATCAGAATTAAAATTTTCTAAGGTCCTTGTAGTCTTAAGGTTCAAGGTAAAAATAAATGATTAACTGATGACTGTGTTAAGAATGCTTGTCAAAATAGGGTAGCCACTGAAAGAATAGACTAGCGATAGAGTGTATGCCTTTGAAGGAGATAAAATGGATTCAATCTCAAGGCAAGAAAGGAGGAAAAGGTAAATACAAAACATAAAAAATTGATGAGAAATAAATGTAAATATGTATATAATTTGTGGCAAAACATTAAAAAACAAAAATTGTCAGTTCAAATTTTTAAAACTAGCACCATACTGTTTCCAAAAGTCGTATTCAAAAGACATTAAAAGGTTGAAAGATGGAAAAGATATAATGGCAAATATTAGCCATAAGAAAATTGGTATGTCTATATTATAATGAAACATTTAAGGCAAAAAGTGACTACTAGATAATAAAGGGGGACCCTGCTAAAAAAAAGATTTGACTGATCAGGAAGATACATCAATTCTAAGCCTATGTATACCTAATAACATAGCATTAAAATATATGAAGCGATATTTGAGAGAAGTGACTTCTGGTTCTAAACAAATGGAGCATACATATTTTTTCGTATTTTTCCCACTAAGTACGCTAAAAACTCTGGTAATAATTCTTAAACATTAGAGCAGAGAGAAAAAGACTAGCTAGGGACTTTGGTACTTGAAGAATGATATGGTGTGAAAGGAGTGGAAATAATCTGAAAAAAAAGTTACGTTGTGTATATAGTCTTAAAATAGTTTATAGACTATCATACATACAAATATGATTGTGGGATATAGACATTAATAATCCTCTTTCTATGGTGCATAGAGTTAATTTTTAAGAAAAAAACAACTTTTCATAATACTCCAGCCTCAAATTTTGCCTCACCAGAATCTGTGTGTTTTCAAGAACTGGAACTTTCTCAGGTTGTTTTCATTCTTTAAAATGATCGACTTTACTATTTGATTACATTTATTATGGAAAATGTAAAGATGCAGAAGAATGCTAAAATAGAAAATATCCGTTATCCCATTATCCCCCAAACAACGAAAGATTTGTGTATTCATTTCTAGTCCTTTTATGTGGATATATAGAACTTTAAAAACAAAATACTGTAAAATTATATCCTGATTTTTCACATTTTGGAGTAACCATTTCTTGAGGACAGTAAGTATTCTTTGAAAACATGATCTTCAGTTTCATTGTTTACATCAGAGTCTAATTATAGCTGTACCATACTTAATCTCCAAATATTTGTTATTTCAGATTGTTTTAAATTTTTGCTATTGTAAATTTTTATGAATATAATTTTATACATAACTATTGCTAATAATTTAAGATAATTATGGGAAGAGAGTTACCAATTCAAAGAGTATAGCTATTTTTAAATTTTTGATACATTTTAATAAATTACAGAAAGATTGTACTTATTTATAGTCATACCAATGAATGTCCCAGAAATGTCCATTTTTTTCATATCCCTTGCCCAAAGAGAATAGTAGATGTTACTTCTTAAACTTTTATTATTACAAATTTTAATAGAGGTAAAATATTATCTCCTTATCTTAATTTTGGACTTTTTCTCTGATAATTAATGAAGTATGATCTTTTTCCATATGTTTACAGCTGATTTGCTTTGCTTTTCTGTATATTTTAAGCAGTGCAGATCTTGTAGGAGCTTCCAACATAAGCAATTTCTTGTCATATCATTAGTTCTTCCTAAATGAGCAAGACATGAAACTGTGTGTGTTTATCACATTATTTCAAGTTAAGTATCCCAATGTGACTGAAATTATAATATTTTCTCCTGGGCAGCCATGTTATTTTAGTCTTGTAATCTAACAAAATTAGCTCTTATTCTTCACATAATAAAGAGGTTTTGAATATTCCATGAACCCTGTATGTGATATGATAGTGAAGAGTAAATTTAAGATCTTACTTGCATTTTCTATCAGGGTCTTCAAAACTCAAACTACATATTCATGCTCCTTATAGCAATCGCTATCTGTAGCCATGGCGATGTTGGTATAGTAAATTCCAGCTTATCACTTTTAGAATTCCACCTCTGGAATTGTAGTCATATATATCCACCCCTTCAGTATAGAACAAGAATATTTCTGCTTAGGAGCTAAAACAGAGGCCTGCATTTGTGTCCATTGTCCCCTTTGAGTGACATCACAGTCCTAGCTTCTTGGCAGTTGTAGAGAACCTCTTTAGTTTGGGGGCAGCTTCGTTTAGTCATTGGAATATGTCATAGGAATGGCTCCTGTCATAGAAGATCTGAGAACTTACGATTGTCCTGTCAATGAACTGATCAATAATGATATCAGCAGGCTGAAATTTCTTCTTTTACATATGTATAGAAATCTCCTCCTTCAAAGCCCGGATGTTTGCTTGGATGGTAACCAGGAGACTACACCTGGCTGGCCAACTACAGGGGATTTTAGTTGACAAAGGGGTTGACTGGCTGTGGTCTGATCCATCTCTGCATTTTCTCTGAGAATGGTCTTTCCATGGGCCACTCCCAGTCAATGACTAAGTCTTGCAGGGATATAGGTCTGTTCCTGAGAGTCGTCAGACTTTGATATCTGACTTTGGCTCAAGAACTCCCCAGTGGCCTTGCCAAAACTTCTGGAGAGTGAAAGGCAGTATAGGATGCTTTCACCAACTCTTCTTTCCCTCTCTCTTTCACTCAGGATCAAACTTGTATGACTGACTGGTGGCCCTCTCAATCTTACCTAGCTACCTCCATTTTCTCTCTCAGGTGTTTCTCCTAATAAAATCGTTGATTGTTTAAT